TATAATTTGTTATAAATAATGTTATTATTTAATGTTAATTACTAACATTTAACATTATTAATATTTTTCTTAATTGCATGCAATCAACAAAACAATGAATCAAGCCCTGATTTGTAACATTTGCCAATTTCCAAGATGCAAACATTGACATGGAAAATTGAACAGTTGACTCTCAGGAAGGCTCTGAGCTGGCTCCAGCACATCCCTGACTTAGGTTAGTGGGTTTGTTTGGCAGTGAGGTGGCACAGTGGATAGTGTGATAGGTCTGGAACAGGAAAGACCTGAGTTCAAATCCAGGCTCAGATACTTACTAGCTGTGTGAGCCTGGACAATTCATTTAACCTCTATCTGCCTCAGTTCTCTCATCTGTAAATTGGACATAATAATAGCATTTACCTCCCAAGGCTGTTAGGAGGCTCAAATAAGATCATAATTGTAAAGTGCTTAGCAGAGTGCTGGGGAGATAGCAGGTGCTATGTAAACGTTAGCTAACATTATTAATCCCAGGTTTTCTTATTTAGCTCAAATTATCCTTCCAGATGGTCAGAATGTGAAACCATACCTCCTTCGAAATCTCCGAGGTAAGCCATAGAAGGAGAAGAGACATGTTTTACGGAAGAGATAAAATAGAAAGAATGCTAGATTAAAGTCAAGACACTTGGCTTTTATTCTCATTTGTTCCACGAATTGTTTATGTGACTCGATATAAGTCACAACTTCTTTCGGATACTCAGTTTTCTCATCTGTCAAATGGTGAGAGAGGTTGGAATATAAGATTCCTCCCAGCTCTGTCAGTTCTCAATACCTGGTATATAGTGACATAATTTTAGAACTGGAAGGGACCTTAGAAGACCATTCAGTCCAAATACTTTCCTTTTACAGATGAGGAAACTGAGGCTCAGATAGGGGAAGTAACTGGCCCAGGGTCACACAGGTCTGACTCCAAGTCCAGTGTCCTTACCCCTTGGCCTTGAATAAATATTGATTGATTGGCAACAGGTCTCTATAGCGATACGAAATTCTCTTTGCACGAACTTTGCTTTGGAGCTGAAGATACACCATCAAAAAGACTTGTAAAACAGTATTAGAATTCAAATTTCCATTTCATCACTGACATTCTTAGCTCTATCAGTCAGTGCCCAGTACCTGGCTACACCGACTAGCCTAAAATAGTTTTCTCCCCCCACTTTTATTTATTTTTTGGTTAGGCAGTGGGTTTAAGTGACTTGCCTAGGGTCACACAGCTAGTAAATGTTATGTGTCTGAGGCCGGATGTGAACTCAAGTACTCCTGAATCCAGGGCCGGTGCTCTATCCACTGCACTACCTAGCTGCCCCTCCCCCCACTTTTAAAAGAAGCACTTCTCAGAGAGAATTTGTTCCAGTGTATAGTAACCAGATGTAAACAATAAATTCACATTTTTGTGAACCTCACCCACTGTGGAGGCTCCTTGCCTTTGGATTCCACATCTCGTCCTCATCTTTTTTTCTCCACACAATCAGTTTACATAAAAGGCAAGACCTGAACCCAGGGTCAGTCTAGTCTCAAGGCTGAGCTTTCTGTATTCTTTCTTAGGGGTTTGATCTCACTCTGGGTCACTACCACCAAATATCGGTTATGCTGGAGTCAGCTCTAAATCCACGTGAGCTTTCAACCTCGGGAATCAGCAGGTGCTAATAATCTGGGCCTGATTTATTGTTGTGGTGATTTTTAGACTTAAGAAAGTATTAATAATGCAGATTAATCTTAAAAGTGTGTGTTTCCTGAGGTTGTTAAACATCTACCAGCACACCCATGGTACCAGATAGTTATAGTGCTGCATTAGACCTTTGATCACTCCCTATCTCTGATTCCTTGTCATGGCATAGAAGTGACACAGGTCTCTTGAACACCATGCCACTGGAGCACAAATTCTGGAAGATTCTACAGAACTTGAACAGTGTGGAGTACTAGTAGAGGGATGGACCTTGTGTCTACTTTCCTTAGACTAGACTAGCTTTATAGGACCTTTATGGTTTTGATGAGAACATTAAACTCATCGGTGAAATTCAATTTAAGATGACAAAAAGTTGGGGGAATTATGTAAAACACCATGAAAAGAAGGCTAGATTAGGAGTCAGAAGTCCTGGGTTCAAATCTCAGTTCTGCCATTTACTATTGGTGTGACTTTGGATAAGTCACTCAAGTCCCTCTGGACCTCAGTTTCCCCACCAGTAAATGAAGGGGTTCAAGTAGATGGCCCTAAAGATCCCCTGCAGCTCTAAATTTATGATCACTATCTTAACCCTATCTCTCAAGATTGGAAGGCTTTAGATAACGATTATCTAGGCTTCTTGTTGAGTCATTTCATTTTTGTTTAATAATTTTTGACCCCATTTGGGGTTTCCTTGGCAAAGATACCAGAGTGATTTGCCATTTCCAGCTCATTTTACAGGTGAAGAAACTGAGGCAAACAGGGTCAAGTGACTTGCCCAGGGTCACACACCTAGTAAGTGTCTGAGGTGGAATTTGAACTGAGGTCCTCCTGACTCTAGCCCCAGTGCTCTATCCACTGTGCCACCTAACTTCCCCAGAGTAGGCAGCTTAATATGTAATAAGCACTTAATAAATGCTTGCTGGTTATAAGTTCATCGAGGGTAAGGACTGTCTTTTGCTTCCCTTTGTATCCCCACAGTTTAGCACAGTGCCTGGCACACAGTAGGCACTTAATAAATGCTCATTCCCTTCCTCCTCTCCTCCCTACCTGTATCTCACCTAGGCTAGATGTGCAGCAGCTCCTCATGAGCCAAATCCTCCTGCTGATCAGCCCTAGAGCTTTGACCTACAATGTTTACTGAATCCACTCGCTCTTTGACACACTCCCTCACCCTGCCCAATCCCAAGGCAGTGATATTTCTTCCTTTAAAAATGCTTTAATTATGGTTGTTATTTTTCTTTTTTCTTTTTACATCATCATCACTTCCCACTTTCTTTGTCCACTCCCACTAGAATCCCCTCTCAGAGCAAGTAAATGTACTAAACTAAAGCTAATCGAACTCTTTGGTTGTATGTTAAACTTCAGAGGCAGGGTGGAACATCCCATACAGCCCTGGGCCCAGAGTCAGAAGTACCTATGTTTAAATTCCATCTCTGGCACTGACTGGCTGTGTGACCCTGGGCAAGTCGCCTAAGCTCTTTAGCAATTCCATTGAGCTTTTTTTTTTTCTATTGTCATAGATTGAGATCTGCACTGATAGAGTGAATCACCACACCGAAGAAGTCACAAAACCTTTGCATTTTCAAGGATTTAAAACTTAAAAAGAAAAATGAAAAATTTTTTTTGAAACTGGCCTTTACTGAATTGTCTAGCTCAAACCTGCCCCTGAGGTTTGAGTTAAGAGACCAAATACTTCTGAATCTATGATTCCATTATCTTTCTCTTTCTGTGAGTCAGTAGGATAAGGTTTCATTAACTTGCAGTTTGCCAATTCTGGTCATTAGGCTTTTATTTTTTCAGAAGCAAAAAAGGCTTTTTTTGGCTTCCATTCTTTGCCTAGACATGTGGCCAGAAAAACTGAGGGATGGTATTACATAGCAATAAAAATCATTTTGAGATCCTCTAATATGTAAGTCACTGTGTATGTGGCAGTGGAAATCCAGGTTGAATCTGCATTCCTCCCCCCCCATAATAAATCTTTTTTAAATTTGAATTTATTTTTCATTTTTCATTTTCATTTTTTCAATTTTCATTCAGAATAATTTTTTATTTTCAAAAAATAAATTTCATACCTTAAATTTTTTTTTTTTAATTTTTACTAGGCAATCGGGGTTAAAGGATTTGCCCAAGTGTTGGAGATAGGATTTGAACTCAAGGCCTCCTACTTCCAGGGGAAATGCTCTATCCACTGTGTCACCTAGCTGCCCCATTTTTTTTTTTCATTTCAACCTATGATCTCATAAAATCATAGATTTTAGAGCTCAAACGAACCTAGAAGTCAGCTAGTATAACTCTTTTATTTTAGGAACGGTGAGTAGGCAAGTGGCTTGACAAATCAATAATTCTGTATTTCTTTTGCCCTTTGGGCTCCCATCACTGTAGCCTGACACCTTTTTCTTTGGGTATGGGAAAAATCTGTTTGCCTTTCTTTATTTTAAACATTAATTTGCTGGTTTGTGTGTATCTTTTGGGATTGCATGTGAGAGGAGACAAGTGTGCGGATGGGGAGGGAAGAGGAGAGAGAGATTTAAAACTGAGGCAGTCACATAGTGCTGTCTAGGGAGGTAGAGAATTATAGGTTCCTCTTATCTTCCTGGGGCAGAGACAGAATGTTGCAATTGTTCATCCATTATTTTTGAAAAGGACCAATAATGTCTTGACTTGCTCTGAGGAAGATCTGAGGTCTCCTTCATTGGAAGGACCCATGGACCCTTTGGTAAAGTGCTGTTGGCTAGGAGCTCTGCCTCAGTGATTTTTCCTTACAGATTGGAAAATCTTCAACCCCACACAAGATAAAAGTCAGGATGACTGGTAATGGCCCAGGATTCAGTGGATGACCTTGGTGTCTTCCATGTCTAACCAAGGTCCAAGGGCTGTTGCCTTAATGACCATTGGAACAAACCACTCTCATCTGCCCATTCCACCTGAGGAAGTCATCACGTGCTTGGGGTAACTCAACCAGGCCTGTCAGAATTTATACGGGGAACCTACTCCTCCTCACTTTCTCCCCTTTCATTGAGTCAGTAGTAGAGCAGACTGGGAAGATGAAATAAGACTTAACAACTCAGCTTACCACTCCACCCTACCACTTTGACTCTGCCTCCAAGTGTTGATGGGTTTCTTCTTAGCTTACCTAGCAATGAGACAAAATGGTACACAATAAAATATCTGCTTGGAGAAATAAAAGCTCTGATTTTTCTCCTGAAAATGCATCTTTAAGTTTACAAGACAAGGGCTATTTTAAAAGGGGAAATTTTCAAAGTTATCCTTCAGTTTTTTCCCCTTGATTGTATTAAAATTTATCTTTTTTTTTAAAGTAGAATAAAACCATGATTAGCAGTGTCATGGGGAGAAAGGAATAGGGTATTAATTGAAGTTTCTCATTAACTGGGAACTAAACAAACCAGTTTTTTCCTGTTGTTTTTTTTTTTAATGAAAATCTTTCTAAAATATTGGCAGACTGCTTTCCTGCCTAAATTCTGTACAGTGAAGATAACTGAATGTCACTTCTTTTGTTGAGGAGCCTGAAGACTGTCAGGGCAGGTGTGAAAGGTTTGCATCTAAAAGGAATCTAATGCATCATCTACTAAGGTTGGGTTTTTTTCTTTAAGAAATCTTTAGTATCATCTTGTTTTCATATGATTTTCAGTTTTATTCCAAAAGTTTCCACTTTCCAGAAAAATTTGGATTAATTGAAGCAGAGATAGTGTAACAGTTGAAAAAGTGTTGAATTTGGAAACAGGAGACCTGAGTTTGAATCCTGACTACCACCTATTGCCTGGGTGACCTCTGGTAAGTCACTTAACCTCTCTTGTCAATTTCCACATCGGTAAAATGAAGAGGATAGATTCAGTGCCCCTTAAGTTCTATTTTGCTCTAAATTTGGCCCTAAATATGTGAGAAAAAGAAAAATAAAATTTATAAATCTATGACCCTGAGTAAGGTCAAATTCTAATCAAACTAAGTTTTATAATAAGCAATGTAAAGATTAGGTTTTCCAATATATAGCAATATCTATATGGAGGCATATCATATTTACTAGTTACTGAAACTAGAAATGCTATAGGAGCACATTCTAGTATTTTTTGTGGGCATGACTAAAAGTTAGCTAATAGAGTACTTGAGTATTTAAAAAGTAAGCCTTTTTCCAAATTAAATATCTTCTTTACAGCTTCAAAACTTGCATCATCCACCAGTGGCTTTCTTGGACTACCAGGCTGAAGGAATTTCTGAATCCTGGGGAGTTTGCTGATTCTAGCTTTGAACTCCTAAAATGAAAAAAAAAATCACATCACCTGTAAATGAAGCAATTAGCCTTGCCCATTTGAGTAGGGCCCTAGGGATGCTCTTGCCAAGACCCTTTGGAAGCTGTTTCATCCTGGGGGAAAACTGTGTCAACCATTTTTACCCTATGGGCAGTGACATTTAAAAGTCCTCAGGAACTTCCGGCTCTGCAAATGTGTAAGGCCCTTCCCCCCCCCCCCAGATATCATATATCATGTCATACAATATAATATAAAGCAATATAACATAATATAATATAATATGATATCATACAATGTGATATAATAAATATATGAAGGAACAGCCTTCTCTTTTAAAAATGTATGAAGTTTTACTTCCTTAATTGCTAGAAAGGATTTGAGCTCTGGGCTCACCAATGCTCTTCATGCCTACCATCTGAAAAGACATCCAGCCATCATCTGAAGGGTGGACAACAGATGGCTGGTTTGGTCCACAATGATTTGTGAAGACTAAGGATCTCTGTTCTTGGAGGAAGTGTACACAGAGGAAATTCCAGATCTTTTAAACAAACATGTATTTATCCCTTACTATGTGCTCAGCACTGTACTAAGCTCTGGAGATACAAAGAAAAAAGCAAAAACTATCCCTGCCTGCAGGAAGCTTACATTCTAATGGGGAAGAGGACATGTACATTAATAGATATCTGCAATATTTGTAGTGAATGCTTTTGATGGAATTACCTGCAGTTTAGGGAATACCAAGAGAACATCAGACTTATATTCTTCAACCATTAAGATGAGTTCAAGGAGATGGATATCTGCCCAGCTCAGCTGGTTGCCCACAAGGTAGTTTTTGCCATGGTCTTTTAATGCCTATAGGATCAATGACAAGGAGAGAAGGGAGAGAACTTGTGGGAACATACAGCACATTTCTTGAAGATAGTGTATTTATTATTTGAAGATAGGGCATTTTCTCTGGCTGTCCCCCATGCCTGGAACACTCTCCCTCCTCTACTCTGACAGCTGACTTCCCTGACCTCCTTCAAGTCCCAACTAAAATTCCATCTTCTACAGAAAGCCTTCCCCAACCCCTCTTAATTCCAGTGCTCTCTCTTTTAATTATTTCCTTTTTATCTTGTGGGCTGCTAGGTAGAGCAGTGGATAGAGAGCCATGCCTGGAGTCAGGAAAACCTGAGTTCAAATGTGGCCTCAGACACTTAGCTGTGTGATCCTGGGCAAGTCACTTCACCTTGTTTGCCTCAGTTTCCTTATCTGTCAAATGAGCTGGAGAAGGAAATGACAAACCACTCCAGTATCTTTGTCAAGAAAACCCTGAGTGGAATACAACTGAACAACAAAATCTATCCTGTACATAGGTTGCTTTGTATATATTTGCTTGCATGTTGTTTCCTTTAGATTGGAAACTGCTTTAGGGCAGGGACTCTCTTTTGCCTCTTTTTGTATCCCACAGTGCCTAACATATGGTAGGCATTTAATAAATGTTTCTTGACTAACAAGGTAGTAATAATTTCTCCCTTTGTTTGTGTCCTCTTCTAAATTGTTCTCTTTGAGTATTTTTGCTCTTTCCATTATACTATTAATTCATTCAATAAACATTTATTAAGCTCCTACCATATATACACCAGGCACTGTGCTAAGTGCTGGGGATACAAACAGGGGCAAAACACAGTCTCTGCTCTCAAGGTGCTCCCAGTCTAATGGGGAAGCAATGCGTAGACTACTGTGCAGAAATGATATACACAGGATGAATTGGAGATACTCTCAGGAGGAAGGAGGACCAGGAAAGGCCTCTTGCAGAAGGCAGGACTTTACCTGAGACTTGGTGGGAAACCAGAGAAGTCAGGAGGCACACATGAGGAGGGAGAAGGTTATAGGCAAGGGAGACAGCTAGGAAAAATGCCTACAGGGCCTAATTGTTCCAGGATCTCTAAGGAGGCCAGTGTGAGGGGGTAAGCTTTAAGAAGGCTGGAAAGGTAGGAAGGGGCTAGGTCATGAAGGGATGTCTTTATATGTGATACTGGAGGCAACAGAGGGCCACTGGAGTTCACTGAATTGGGTTGGGGTCGGGGAGGGGGGGGATGACATGGTCAGACCAGAGCTTAAGGAAGTTCATTCAATTTGACAGCTAAGGGGAAGACGCCTGTGCTGGGGAGTGACTTAAGGCAGAAAGACCACCTGGCAAGCTACTGCAATGGTCCAGGCATAGAGTACGTTACAGACCCTGCTAATTATTTCCTATTTATGCTGCATATAGCTTGCCTTGGAGATATTTGTTTGCATTTTGTCTCCCCCATTACATTGTCAGCTCTTTGAGGGCACGGACTGCCTTTTGCTTCCTTTTGTATCCCCAGCACTCAGCACAGTGCTTGGCATATAGCAGTTGCTTAATAAATGTTTATTGACTAATGTTTACATATATTGAAAAGTTCTAGTTCTCTGAGTATTAAGTTTATAATAAAAAAGTAAAACCTGATATATTCTTACAAGTGAAATAATTCCATCCCCCCATTATGGGAGAGAGACAGAGACAAAGAGAGAGAGAGAGAGAGAGAGAGAGAGAGAGAGAGAGAGAGAGAGAGAGAGAGAGAGAGAGAGAGAGAGAGAAGGAGGGGGAGAGAGAGAGAGAGGGAGAGAGAGAGAGAGAGAATTATGTGAATTATGTAACCTAAGATTTCATAAGACAATTTTTAAAAACAAGAGTACTGGCCGGGAAATCCAGGGAATCTGGATTCTTTTTGTGACTGTAATAGTCACTAGCTCTGTAATCTTGAAAAATTCTCAAGGCCTCAGTTCTGTAAATGGAATTGGTTGAATTACCCCTTTTTTCTTACATTACCTGCTTCACAGTGCTGTAGTGCTTAGCATGCATGTCTAATCCATGCTTCAAGTGGTTCTTCCCCAATGGGCCTTGGATCCTTTCCTGAGAAGACTTTAACTTAGGCCTGATGATATCCCTGCTGTGGGGGAAGGTCTAGCCGCCTTGACTACAGTATCTTTTTCAAGTTTGATGGGGAACTTCAGCTCATCCACTCTAAAACCTCTCAGACTATCTAAGCATCAAGGTCTAAGCTACCCAAAACTGTTAGGTGGCGAAATGGATAGAAGACTGGATCTGAAGCAAAGAAGACCAGAATTCAAATTTAATCTCTGCCACTAGCTATTGTGAACTTTGGCAAGTCATTTAACCTCTGTCTGCCTCAGTTTCTTCCACTGAAAAATGAGGATAGCAATAATACCTACCTCCCAAAGTTATTGTATCAAATGATAAAATATTTGTAAAGCATTTAGCACGGTGCCTGGTACATAGGTGATACTTAATAAATGCTTATTTCTTTCTTCCTTTATTTCTCAGGGTGCATAACTCCATGTAAGAGAGAGAAACATGGAGTTACAAAAAATTTTTTTAAAAAACAAAAGAATTTTTTTCTTCCTTCCATCCTTTTTTCTTTCTTTCCTTCCTTTCTTCCTCCTTCCCTTCTTTCCTCTCTTCCTCTCTCCTTTCCTTTCTTCTTTCCTCTCTCCATCTTTCTCTCCTTCCCTCCTCCCTTCCTTCCTTTTCTCCTTCCTTCCTTCTTCAGATGGAGGCTTAGGAATTGGTAGCCAAGTAATCTCTTAATTTTTTATCACATCAGGAATTATTGAATGAGTAACTATTTCTTACAAATTACAGAAAACTGCATGTTATCTCTCTACTCACATCTGTTAATGATTGCCTCATATTTACCCAAATCCCTTATAATATTCTTCAATACTTTTACAATGGCCTTATTTTTATGGTCAAATTCTATTACTATAATTTAAAATCTTCTTGGAGTTTTTCTTGGTATAACTGCACACTAAATGCCTAAAGTCCTGGCATTGATTTTGTTCAAATTCAATTTAAAAGTCTATTCTGCAAAACATTAGTGCCAATGCAAACAAAAAGCACATAATAGTGTGTAGCAATGAAAACTAAAAAGCACACATGCACACAAAAACAATAACTAATTATACAGCAGGCATTAGCAATAAGTTCAGGGCCACGTGCCACTCAACAGCTGTGTAATCAATAACACAGAACTCCAAGCAGCATTTACTAATAGTCAATACCGCCGTAGGCAATAACCCACTGGCAGTCATGTTGCATGATACATTTGGAATCCTACAGGAACCACTGAGTTAGGCACAAAAGTGAATCTTAAAAGAGAGCAAAATCCAGTAAATCCTGGACTGGGGGAAAGCACTTCCATCCACTGAAGAAAAGAGGGGGGAAAAAGAATTTAAAAAAAAAAAGAGAAAGAAAAATAATTACTTTTTGATGAAATGAAAAATATTTCAGCCAAAATGAAACATCTTTAAGCTCAAGGAAACTCACAAAATTTCAAAAATAAAATTTACAAATCCCATGGACAAGCTAAGGTCTCTTCTAGCTATGGCAATCAGTAAAACACATGACATATCCCAGACCCAGGTTACAGTATAACCTGATTCCCTTTTTTTCCCCATTGTCCTTTGCCCATATTAGGATACCAATGGGATCATCTGTTGACCACATTTTCAGGTTGTGTTGACAATCTGTCCTCAGGAGTTGTAAATTATAGAGACAGTACTGTTTCTAAAATCCTTTGTTAACACAATACCTTTTTTTAAACCAAGGAATAAACCCTCAAATATTTTTTGCTGTTGTTTTTTGGCTAGGCAATGGGGTTAAGTGACTTGCCCAGGGTCACACAGCTAGAAAATGTTATGTATCATCTGAGGCTGGATTTGAACTCAGGTCCTCCTGAATCTAGGGCCAGTGCTCTATCCACTGCGCTACCTACCTGCTCCCAACCTTTAAATATTTCTAAAGATATTCTCCTACGATGGATTCCATGAATTAGCTTTCACCATCCTTCAAAACTGCCTGACCGATGGATAGATATCTTTTCCCTCTATGACAGAGGAAATTTGGGTATCGGCACAACAAACTTCTGTTTTGGTCATTGTTTAACAGACCAATAAACATTCCTTAAATGCCTCCTCCATGCAAGACAGTGTATAAGGTGATGGCTAAAACCAACCTAGTCTCTGCCATCCACAAACTTGTAACCTAGCAGGAGGAGGATGCTAAAATGTTGTATCCCCCTATAGAATGTAAGCTCCTTGAGGGCAAGCTCTATTTCATTTTGTCTTTGTGTCCTCAGTGCCAAGCCCAGTCTGTGTTGTATAGCTGGCTCTTTAATAAATGCCTGTGGTTAGGCTGAGGCTCTTGGTCTCCCTATGTATTTAATGGGTGCATATTAAATGATTTAGTCAGGACCAAGTCTGTCCCAGAAGGGCTGCATTGTACCAACTTTATAAATAGGTGCAAAAAATGTCATTGAACCCCTTCCATTTTTATCCTCACAGAGGATTGCCACCAGCCCTTCCCCCGTTTACCAGTCTAGAATGGTGCATAGGAACTTCAGGAGGACAGTCCCAGGACCAGCCATATAATTTTTAAATGTAAAAAAGAAATATTAACAAACATCTCTCTTGCAACACCCTGCATGTTGTGTCTTAAGTGGCTACCTATCCTACCTAGCTCCAGCTCTTTATGAATTCATAGGATCATAGATTATAGAGCTGAAGTGACCTTAGGAGTCATTAAGTCCAACTCCCTTATTTTTCAGATGAAGAAACTAAGGCCAGATAGGACAAGTGACTTGCCCAAAGTCACACAGCTGGTAAGTGTCAGAGGCAGGATCTGAACTCAGATCCTCTGTTTATAGAGCCAGTGGTCTTTCTTCTGTACCACAGAGCCTCCAATGTTTCTGAATTGTCATGCATTTGCTCAGATTGCAGTGGAGAAAGTGTTTGTAATTTCAGTGAATATGCAGGTAGATCACACACTCATTGGTCCATACCTTCTCATACACTGGGAAGAATCTTTGCGTGGCTCTCTCATTGACGAAGCTAAGATTCTTCTCCTGCTCTTCAGGCAAAGCTAATGGGAGCAATATAATTATGTCGTACAGATCTCTCATTCCTTCCACATACATGTCAATCCTGGAAAAGGAAAGAGGCACCAATAACAATATGATTACTAGCTCATCCTATTACTGAGAGACTCCAATCAAAAAATGTATGTAAAATGCTTTGCCAGGTTTAAAGCTCTTTTTACATATGTCATTATTATCAAATGCCGGAGCAAATAAAATACTATATGTGAAAATGCTTTTTTAAAAAAAGTATAAAGTTATTGTTCATCATTTCAGTCGGTTTTGACTATCACCCCAATTGTGGTTTTCTTGACAGAGATACTGGCATGGTTTGCCATTTCCTTCTCCAGCTCATTTTACATTTGAGGAAACTGAGGCAAACAGGGCTAAGTAACTTGCCCAGAGTCACACAGTTAGTAAGTGTCTGAGGCCCAATTTGAACTCAGGAAGGGTCCTGACTCCAGACCCAGCACTCTATCCGCAGCGCCACCCATCTGTCCCTCCCCCCCACTCCGAAAGTGTAAAGTACTGTTGTGCAAATGTAAGGTATTATGACGTAGCAAGAAGGATTTCATAAGCAATTATTAATTTATTAATAATGTATTATTTTATTATTAATAGCTAGTAACTTATTAACTTATTAATTAATTTATTTTGTGGTATTATTTATTAATTTAGTATCATTAATTTATCTTTGTAGTTTAAACACTGAGATGCACCATAGAGTAGTAGATACAGAGCAGGGCTTCTTAGATGTTCTCTATCATGGATAATGAATCCTTCTCAGAATAATGTCTTTAAATGCATAAAATGAAATACATAGGATTACAAAGTGAACCAATTATATTGAAATACAGTTATTGGCAAAATATTTAGATAAGTTCACAGGCCCCAGGGTAAGAATTCTGCCTACTCATATGTATATTAAGGCCCAGATACCAAAAATGTTCCATCTACCGACTGGCATGCAGGAGCTTCCTTAGAATAGAAAAAGAGCTTGATTCTGGGCTTTAAAAACATCAAGCCCCATTTAAGACACTTTCAACTTGGTTTGGACAAACGTACAAAACCACTGAGTAAAGGAGAATTTACTGTGAGTTGTTGTGGTTTTGTGTTTTCAGTCCAGGCCCGTAATTTCATCAGTGAGGGCAATTCCCTGAGCCTTGAAGATCGACAAGTCCCCTCTCATTTATAGTTCATTTATAGTGTTAGGGAAGCACTGAGAAATTGAATAACCTTCTTGGGGCTACATGGCTAGGGTCCACTTAAGCCTGGACTAAAATTCTGAAGTCAGATTGTTTTACTCTTTGTATTCGTACTGTCAGGGCTAGCATGGTGTCCGGCACATTTGTTGTTGTTCGGTCAATTCGGTCACGTCCAATTCTTCCTGACCCCATTTGGGGGTTTTCTTGGCAGAGATAGTGGAGTGGTTTGCCTTTTCCATCTCCAGCTCATTTCACAGATAAGGAAACTGAGGTAAACGGAGTTAAGTGACTTGCCCTGGGTCACGCAGCTGGTAAATATGTGAGACCCAATTTGAACTCAGATAGACGATTCTTCCTGACTCTAGGGACAGCACTCTATCCACTGTACTACCGAACTGCGCACATCAGCACATAGTAGGCACTCCATAATTACTTGTTGATGTATTGATTCATCCAGTATGGGTTGCATGGCCTCTCCATGATGAGTTAATAAACATAGAAGCTGTTTTTTTTAAAAAAAGTCTTCATTTTCATTGAGTTAATAGTGAATTTGCATATTGTTTTTGAACTCATGCTTTTACTAACCATTACAAATTATTTTTTTGGGTGGTGATTGGGGTTAAGTGATTTGCCCAGAATCACACAGCCAGTAAGTGTCAAGTGTTTGGTCTGAGACTGGATTTGAATTCAGGTCCTCCTGACTCCAGGGCCGGTGCTCTATCCACTGCGCCACCTAGCTGCCCCCCAAAATGATTTTTAAATTGTAGTTATACTATTTTGAGATCTAAAGCCAGTATTTCTTCTTTTTTGAACAAGTCATCTATGTATCTGTGAGTGGGCCAGTCCATTGCAATATATTAAAAGGAAAGTATTCCCAACATGCCCATTACGTTAAGATTGAGTTCTACAAACATTCCATTAGATTGTAAGCTCTTTGGGACTGTCTTTTGCTCTTTCTGTATCTTCAGCATTAGCACAGTTTCTGGCACATAGTAGGTACTTAATAGATATTGACTGATTGATAAGCAGCCTACAAAACCCAGTATTGTTACTTTATAGTAACACTCTACTAAGCAGCTAGTGATTTAATTTCCTTCTTTAACTGCTCCCCACTTTGATAATACCATTTATTGAGGATATCTACATCAGGACTTGGACTTAGATCATTTGGGAAAGGGAGTTAAGAATTTTACATATTTACTTCCATAACATGCTGATAAGAACATTCTTGCTTTGTCCATTAAATAAAAGGAGATACTTTCTTAACGTAATTTCATTGAGAAGCAGGGGAAAGAACAGATAGAGAGCTGACACTGAACTCAGGAAGACCTATGGTCAAGTTTTACCTTTGACCTGCACTTGGCACTGTGACCCTGGGCAAATCATTTGTCAGAATCCACTGTCAAGTAGAGCTTTCCTAAATAAAAAAGGGTCACTTCTACTTTACATTGTAAACATGCAAAAAACGATTACTGTACAGGACTTGCTCCTTCAGGTCCTTCCCATACAAGCTGTATTTTGCAGCTATATATCTCAGGATGGCTCTGGATTGTACCATCTTCATTCCATCAATTTCAACCATTGGCACCACTTGTTCGTACATTAGTTTTCCATCTAAAAAAAGGAAACAGAAGTCAAGTCAGTGGCTTACTCCCCCTCATAAGAGTATGATCCTGGGATCATAGTTTTCCAACCAGAAAGGACCTCAGCGGTTGTCCAGTTTAACCCTTCCATTCTATAGTAGGGGAAATTGAGGCCCAAGAAGGGTGAGGGACTTCCTCAAGGTCACATGGCTAAGTATCAGAAGCAGGATTTGAATCCATGAGCTCTGATTTTAGAACCAATGCTCTTTCCACTGTATCAGCCACACTGTGTTCCATGGGGGGTTATTTTCATTCTAGAGACACTGCCTCCCACCCTGCAAATGGGATTGTGCTTGCTGCTAAATAAGGTTGTTCAAGATGTTATGAGTGACTGACTTACTCCCTACCATGTATTGAGAAACATGGACCTTTTCGTTGTTCCTTGAACAAAACACTTCAGTCTCTGGACTGTGTGTCGCCCATGCCTAGAATGCTCTGCCTCCTCATCTCTACCTCCTGTCTCCCCCGGCTTCCTTCAAGTCCCAGTCAAAATCCCACCTTCTCCAGGAAGCGTTTCCTGACCTCTAGCTTACTGCTGGTGCCTTCCCTGTGTGCGTTACCTGCAGTTCACCCTGATGCATCTTGTTTGCTCATAATTGTTGGTTTGCTGTCTCTGCCCCATCAGACTGTGAGCTCCTCAGGAGCGGGGGCTGTGGGCTCTCCCCCGCCTCCATTACATCTACTCTTATTTTTATTTTTCAATTTAATTTATTTTGTTCTGAACTTATGAAATAAAACAAACATTTCAATAACATAAGTAGTATAGAAAAAAAGATGATTGTTAAAAAAAGATTTTTCTTTCTTTCTCTCTATCCCCTGTGCTTATTGCAGTGCCTGAGCCATAGTAGGTCCTTAATAAATGCTTCTTGACTGACTGAAAGCTACAGCTAGAATGCCATTAATTAACAACAGTAGTTTTGAGAACCTACTATGTGCACTTCAGTATGCTAGGTACTTTGGGTGGTGTACATGAATAAAGGAAGGACCTCTTAGGATTTATCTGTGACCTTGTGGGACTAGGGAACTCCCTATATGGGAATTTCCTCCATCTCCCCAAATGAGGGCTCTATCTATGACTTGGTCTACACACTGTCTGCTTGGGTAATCCATGATTCTTGACTTAAAGGATTTTGCCTTTAAATCTTCTCTCACAAATTGATATCTGCTCCCTCCTGCCTCTAGCCTCAAGTACAAACTCTACTTTTTGCATCCAAAACCCTTCATGGTCTGTTCTAGCCTGTCCTTCTGCACACACCCTGCTTCCCAGACAAACTAGCTTACTTGCTTTTCTGCCCACACAACACTATATCTCCTATCTCCTTGCCTTTGTATGAGCTGACTTCCATCCCTGGAATTCCATCCCTCTTCATCTTTCCTGATCCCCCTAGTTGCTAGCACCCACCTTCCCCTGAAGGTTACTTTTCTCTTGCAATTCTTTTGTATTTGAATAAGTTCTATATTTACTTGTACAGGCAGGTAGGTGGCTTGGTGGATAGTGCTGGATCTAGAGTTCCAGCCTTGTCTCAGACATATGCTAGCTGTATAACCCTGGGCAAGTCACTAAAGCTCTCAGCCTCAGTCTGCTCATCCATAAAACAAGGATGATGACAGCACCTACCTCCCAAAGTTGCTGTGAGGATCGAAGGAGATAATCTTTGTAAGATACCTTGGAAACATATAAATGGTATGATGATGATGGTATTTATGCATAATGTTTCCCCCGAAAGAATATAAGCTCATTGAGGTAAAGGACAATCATTTTTTCATCTTTTTATCTCCAGTAACTTAGACAGAACCTGGTACATAGTAAGTGCTTAATAAATGCTTGTAGATCAATTGATTGATCCACACCCTCCCCCCCCCCACCTTTCTTTAGCTCCCACTAACATATCAGAGGCCAGGGTCTCATCAGCTCCCACTTAGATTCTTTTTTTCCTCTCTTTTTAAAAATTGATTTATTTTGGACTTAAATAGCAAAAATTATATACACAATAAGAAAAGAAACATATTATAAACTTGAATACAAAATCAGAAAAAAAGAAAAACATTATCATGTGCACAGGAGAGCGTAAGGGAGGGATCAAAATATACAGCAATGTATTTCCCTTTCAAGAAAGCCTGTATAAGAAATACTACTCATTGTGTTCAGAGATATACATCTTTCCTTTATTTTCTTGTAAGTTTTCTTTTGTTCTCTGCTGTGCACTATTTACTTTGTTCTTTTCCCTCCCTTCCTTCCCCACTCCTCCAAGATGATACAAATAAGCGCTGATATATTTACAGATACATACACATTTACATGCAGACATACATGTACACATATATACTTATATGTATACACATATATACACAAAGATATATACATGCACATACATGTGTACACTTAAGTACACATACATATACTTAGATATCTATAATCATACTTATATATAGGAATATACATTCACATGCATCTGTGTAAGACCACACTATACTTATTTGTTCTCTGTTTCTCTGAGGGTGCATACCCTCTTCCTTCACAGGTCTGAGTCTTTCCATATTTTTCTAAGTCCACCAACTAGTCATTTCCTACACCATAGCAATATTCCATCCTTTTACTGTCTAGTTATTTGAAATGGCCTAAAACAATAATGCTTGATATGACTGACATGTAGTGCACTTTCCCTATTTTTCTCTAATGATTAAATCTATTTTAGCTTTAATTTTGTCTGCCACCTAGATTCTTTCAGTGTTTCTCGTTGGGGTCTATACCTCCAGTCTCTGTCTATTCCAGATCAAACCTTCATAATTCGTCTTCCTGAGACACAGCAATTGTCCAGATACTTCTTTGCCCACACACAAAAAACCCTCCAGTAACTCCCACCTGCCTGCTCTTTTCTCACATTCAAGCTCCTCCATGACCTGACTCCAACCTAACCTTTCCAGTCTTAAATCCCATCATCACTCTTTACTTCCACCACTATTCCTTCATAGAAGCCGAGGGCCCTTTGTTTCAGGAGGAAAAAAGCTTTACTTTCTTTCCTGATGTGGCTGTTTGAAATTCAAACCCTACCTCTGAGGTACAGAAGAACACACTTGTGTACTGTCCTAGGTAATTTCCCATCCATGCTGTGATTTATAACATACTTTTTCACAACTGTAGAATCAGAGAATTGTAGGGCTCCAAGGAGATCTTAGAGACTTTCTGTATGTCTTTTCAGGCAAGGCAAGGGTAGTTAATCTGATCTTCATGGACTAGCAGAGCACAACAGCAAGGCTTTGAACTCACCCTTAATTAAATTTTGAAGGTCTTCAGCTGTTTCCAAAAACACTTCTTCAAACTAGAAAGGAGAAGAACATATGAGGGTATCAGAGCAATGGAATCATAGAATGTTAGCATTGGCAGAGACCCTAGGGATCACCTAAGACAACTAGGTGGTATAAGGGGTAGAGCACAAGACTAGGAGTCACAAAAACCTGAGTTCAAATCCTGCCTTAGGTATTTACTAGCTGGGAGACCCTGGGCAAGTCACTTAACTTCTCTGGGCCTCAGTTTCCTCATCTGCAAAAATGAAGGCTGTGTGTGGCCCTCCACACATGCAAGAACTAAATGATCTCTAAGGTTCCTTCCAACTCTACACCAATGACTCTGATGCTTTTGTCCAAAACTTCTTGAATATTTTGGTTTCAAAACCCCCCATTACCTTCTTAAATGTAATATTATTGAGGACCTATCCAAAGAGCTTCTGTTTATGTGGGTTCTATCTATTAATATGTGCCATATTAGAAAATAAAACATGAATTTTAAATATACTTATCAATTCATTAAAAACAAACCCATTATGTATTAACATAAATAACACATTTTCATGAAAAATGACTATTTTCCAAGACAAAAAATTAGTGAGAAGAGTGGCATTGTTTTACATAATTTTGCAAATCTCTTTAATGTCTAATCTTAGCTGGATTCTTGTATCTGCTTCTGCATTCAGTCTGTTGTAATATGTTGTTCTGGATGAAATATGTGTGTATATATACATATGTACATACATTTATAGATATAGATAGATAAAATCCAGCTCCACAGAGATATATAATTGGAAAAGGGAAGAGTATTTTTGTAGGTTATTAACATCTTAGTATTATTATGAAAGGAGTCTTGATCTCAAATGCTCCCTGAATGGATCTTTGGCAACTTCAGACTACACTTTGAGAACCACTGTTCTAGTCTACCTTCCCCCCCCTTTTTTTTAAATTAAAATACGAATCTTAGAGAAATGATTACTAGATTATCAATGCCAATTTGTATTTTTTCATTTTTGTATCTATCCAATGCCTGGGAGAGTGATTCTGTCAATCATATTATGACTTCATATGTAAGTGCTGTTGTCTGAGGCACATAGAGGTTAAGACTTGCCCAGGGTCATACAGAGAATAAGTGTCAGGGGCAAGATTTGACTTCAGGCGTTCCTAATTCTAAGCCCAGAGTTCTGTCAATACAATCACTACAGGCTACTTTATTTATTTTTTTGGTGAGGCAATTGGGGTTAAGTGACTTGCCCAGGGTCATACAGCTAGTGAGTGTTATGTGTCTGAGGCCGGATTTGAACTCAGGTCCTCCTGACTCCAGGGCTGGTGCTCTATCCACTGCGCTGCCTAGCTGCCCTGGACTACTTTTCTATGCCTTTTGGGGTTAGAGAGGAGAGAGGTGTCTGGACCTGTGATTTCATAGATATAGGACTGAGGTATCAAACCAGCTGCCTGCAAAATTCCTGAGTGCATGCCCAACCAGATTAAAATGTAATTGGAAAGTGTTTATAAATAAAATTAGATGCATATGATTTAGTGGTCCCCACTCCTATTTGACTTTGACACCACTGATAGAGGGAATACTTTTTTTTTTTGCATAAATAATAACTTTATTGTCACTTGATGTGCTGAAATGCAAAAATATTTTTAGCAACAAGATACAAAAAGTATCTGCACGTAAACATCAGCTGATTAAAAAAGAAGCTGGTTCGATGCAAGTGTTTATACAGATATTATATATTTTCTAAATCATAATCACCTCAATACTGGTTTTTCATTAAAACAATGTGTTTATTTTCAAAACAGGACACACGGAATACAGCATTAACTGGACTGCCATGCATAATGATGAAGTCAAACATCTAAAGAATTCCCACAAATTCTCCTTCAAATATAAAGTCCATTTACTACAAACAGAAAATAAACTGTGACTCTAATTCAATTCAGCAAACATTTATTAAGCTCCTACTATGTGCAGAGCACTGGTTAAACTACTTTAATCTTAATAGTTTATAAGGAATCTCTGTGTGTGTACAGGTATGTGTGTGTATCTTTCAAATACATTAAAACCAGTGATCAATGTTACTGAGTCACTTTCAAATAAATGAAATTAATACTCAAAATTTGGACATACATTTCAATCTGGACTGAAATATTGGTTTAAAAAATAAGAAACCCCTTTAAAAGGAAATAGTGAACTCATAAAATTTCATTCTTAAAATACATATTTTAGACCATGAGAATGCAAATATAAATATCTGACATGTTTGAATTAGGGAAAAAAAACCTCTTTCCATTCAAGAATACTGTATAGAACTGCTCGCATTAGATTTTTAAAAATAAAATCATCTGAATAAAGGACTTGTTAGATTTTAGGAATGTTCTCAATTATACATTAGCAAAGAACATTTGCTTTCATATTCAATTGTAAGCTTACTACAATGTCAAAGAGGGAAAGAAATTAATCCAATATTTTCGTAATTTATTTTCAATCAAGTTTACATATGCAGCAGTAATACTCGAGAAAACTTAACATATTTTGATGTTTTATAACTTAATTTTATAATAGAAGTCCTAAAAAGGCACTCTATTTTCTTATTTCAATATGCAGTAAATTGACCACATAAAAAAGTATTTTATAGCTTCCTCGCTTCCTGAACTGCCTCTTAAATAAAACAAGTTGAAATATCTGAAACTAACCTATCATTTTAAGATTTAACTGAGTCCTCTTTTCAGAAAAAATCTCTCTGTAAAAATACTACACACACATACATACAAGCATGTACACACACACACAGGATGACCACACAACACATGCAAAATTCGATGTAGGGAACTCTTGCTGAGGAAACCCTATCTACCAGGGTAAATCAGTGACTGCTCTGTGATATATAGTCTTAGAGTCAAAACACCCGGGTTTAAAACTTACTTCTGTAGCTTACTGGTTGACCTAGGGCAAGTCACTTAACTTTTCTGTGCCTCATTTTTTTTTTTATCAACAAAAAGGGAGTGTGGAGGAGGAAAGACATGAACTAGATGGCCTCAAGATCTCTTCTAGCTCTCTATTTACGATCCCATAATCCTATGATTTACCCAAGGTCACATGGCTAATTAGTGACAGAGCCATGACTACCATCTGAACCTTCTGACTCCCAGACCAGTGTTTTTCACTATGCCACACTGTCTAATTAATATTGTGACTATTATTAATCATTGTAATTACTGCTCATAGGCTCATAGATTGAGACTCTTAACCTCTTTAAATGGCAACTAAGTGGTGTGGTGGACAGAGTAGTCTTATTTTCAATCCTGTGACAGAATGGGGTCCTATGATTAGCAGAACTTAAGACCCTCAGATCCTAGGACACAGGCAGAGCTGGAAAGGACACTGGGGGTTGTCTCATCCAATCCCCTCATATGGAAAAGAAGAAACTGAACCCCAGAGAGGGGAAGTGATTTACTAATATCACTTAGGAGTGGGGGAAATCATTCATCACCACCTGAAAGGTTATTACAAATTTTTCTAGTATATCAGTCTAAATTATCAATGTTTAAAAGTTTAGAAATTTCACATACGTAATGAATCTGAATCTTCCACAGTCTCTACCCAAAAAAAGGAAGCCAACAAAAATGAAGAAAGCTAAAAATCTCTTTAGAAACTAGCCCAACCTCTGTTCCTTGGTATTTTTCAATATTCCAAAGTGATGGGCTTTTAAATTAATAACAACACTAAGCAATAATGGCCAGACAGTTAAGGAAATAAATTGGAACCAGCATCATTCTTTGGGTTATGGCATAGAAAAAAAGTATTTTTTTTAAGGAGTCATTGTAGGCAAAGATCACAGAATATCGAACCTAGAAGGGGATCTCAGAAATCATGCAATGCCAGCCCCCTATTCTACAAGTGATGAAGCTGGGACCCAGAGATGCAAGCTAGCTTGCCTAAGGACATCCAGCTAGGAGGTAGTGGTGCCGTGACTCAGACCCTGGTCTGCTGAATCCAAGTCCAGTGAACTTTTCACTGGGCCTTGATTCTACTTACAGATGGAGAACTCAATCAACACTTAATTATCAAGATAAATTTGCCCTTCAAATTGCTCCTGTGGCTTAGTTCACTATCAAAAAAAAAAAAAAGAGGGTGATCACCATGATTAGACCCCTTTTTTGGAGGTAGTCATTAAGTAAGCTCCACGTGACTTCTCCTCTGCTAAATATTCACTGAGTCAGAAGAAAGAGCACAAAGATAAGAAATGAAGCATCTACCTCCACCCCAGCAGCTGCCAGGAGCCAGCGCACCGATTCCATTCTGCCTCTGCCATTGAAGTAATACAGTATGGGCTTTGCAGCCATGATTCTCAGTTCCTGGTTTTCTGAAAAACAAGAGAGAACCAACAGCCTGACCAGGACCTAGGTAGACAAGCCGTCCTTTTTGTAGTCCTTGCTGTACCGGGGATATATGAGAAAAACCCAAACTCTCAGGGCCAATGATTCAGAGGCTAGATGGGGGAGGGGAGAAGAGGGTGGAGAATCATGTGAAGAGAAAGATTCAGACCTCCCATTTTCCCCCAAATACAGGCTGAAGGCAGTTAGGCCAGGATCTATTTAACTGACTGAAATACATTTGGGACTTTGGTGAGGAGGGCCTGATCAACTTAACCTGGTCCACATGCTATAATTGAAATGTGAAGATGAAGGATAATTTTTATCATTATATCAAAGTTGGTCATCCGACTCTGGGTGTCACGGATACTGTATAACTCCCTTTTTGACTCCAGGTGTTGATTGGGCCCGATCCTAGTTATGCAGATGTGGCTCAAACCACATACAGGGAATTCACTATTAAAACCCAGAAACCACAAATCAAGTAAAATAATTTTCATTTAGGACAGACAGCAAAATAAATGATAAGAGACCTGTGCTTTGATTTATGTAGCGAGCTCCCTGGAGAGGAAATTCCCTCTACCAATAGCACATCTGCCATCGTCTTGGGGCTTTTAGTGGGAAAGCTGCATGGGACACAGAGAGGTTAACCTACTTGCCTGGAATCACACAATCAATAGGAGTCAGAGACAGGATTAGAAGCCAGGTCTTGCTGAGGCTGAAGTGGCTTCTGTATCTACATAACACCTCTTTCCTTCTACACTGTAGAAATCCATTCCAATAAAATATACTTTCTTATGTTGCCATAAAGGCTCATTTCAAATTGTCCCTTTTGGACAAGGGAAATAACGCAAGACATAAATATAATTTCCCATGGATTCCCACCTTGCCCATGAGAATGGGAATATCACCTATAGGACTCAGGAGGTCCCAGAGTTGTGGCTCAGCTGGAACAGCTTTAATGGTTCACTTCCCAGACAAGTGTGTATGCCCCACTGATGTTCTATTCTGTTTCTAAAGTTGCTGGAGTCTTCATCTGGGGCTAGGGTTGGGGCTTCTTCTTCAGGGGAAAGGTTAGCACTCTTTTGTGAGACTGTCCAGCCAACATGCCTGGAGTTAAGGGTGTTTTTAGCTCTTTTAGTTTAACAATGTTCAATAACCTCCTTCAAAGGAATTCTCCAAGCCTCCCTGATATTTTGGGTGAGGAGAGTAAATTCCTACTGCTTCCTATCAAGAATTCTGCAGATAAATGTCATGTTCCCATAGTAGAATTTGTTGTGAAACACTTTGTTTTCATTTTTCTCTTATTTCCCCAACCTCATGCATAGTACTTTGCATTCAACAGAAATGATAAATATTAGTTGAAATTAAAAAAAAAGAAAGAAATTTGGAGACAGTGTCAAGGGCACTTTAAATTATATTAAAACTTTAATAACCTTCAAAGAGTCACTCAGGAATATTATGGGATGCAAGGACAGACCAGCAAACTCATCCCTGCATTCCTGTCATCGCAGCCAAGAACATCCTGACCTTCTTGCTGGTTGTTATTGAGTCATTTCAGCTGTGTCTTATTCTCCATGACCCAGTTGGGGGTTTTCTTTGCAAAGATACTGGAGTGATTTACCATGTCCTTCTCCAGCTCATTTTACAGATGAGGAAACTGAGGCAAATAGGGTAAAGTGACTTGCCCAGGGTCACATAGCTAGTAAGTGTCTGAGGCCGGATTTGAATTCAGAAAGATGAGTCTTACTGTCTCCAGGCTTGGCACTGTATCCGCCGTGCCACCTAGCTGCCCTCACTGGCTCATAGTAGCCACTCAATAAGTGTTTATTGATTGGTTGACTCAAAATCCAGTGGAGAAGCTGGAGAACTGGAGAAGCTGTTGAACCTCTCCATGGACCAGGAATTCTCTGAAACCGAAGTCACAGAGCAGTTTAAAACCACAGACTGAAGTCCCTCTGCATTGGTGGAGGGAGTTTATTCACTGGAAGTTTCCTATACCAGTAAAATCACGGGTAAAAATCTAACCCCCTCGTTGCCTTTTACCACACCCTCCCCTGTGTCCCTCACATTTCCATGACTCATTGGCAGCACAAGTGGAAGTGGTAACTAGGGTGACAAGTTGATAGTTCTCAATCAATAAGCATTTCTTATGTGCTTCCTCTTGGTTTATGTTACATGGAAGCCCTGGCAAGATAATGACTAATCCTTCCATTAGTCATTAAAAATACCTGGTTTTGAGCCTTGGGAGGTATGGATGGCATACTAGAATTTTTCATGTTCATTTTTTTTATTGTACTAGAGGTTTTTATGAGCTATAACAAGGGCAGGTCTCTGACATCACAAACAGATAACATTTGTGGCTTCAGCACAATTTTCAGCAGCAGAGTCAAACATTTGGGGAAAACTCCTGATTTCTGATTAGTAAGCAAAAATGACAGGTGTCAGACAAAAGAGGTCAGAAAATCAAAGCCAAGGGCAGCTGAAGCAGCCAGTTTAAGCAAATCTTGAGATAGAAACAAGCCTGCATAAGGGACCTTGGAGAACCACAGAACTCAAATAACTTTCATTTGTGCAAAAGAGCTTTTTTCTTTTTTTTTCCTTTTTTTTTTGCTTTTTTGGTGAGGCAATTGGGGTTAAGTGACTTGCCCAGGGTCACACAGCTAGTACAAAAGAGCTTTTTTCAACCGATATTCTTTAAATGGAATTGCCCATTTACTGACATCCAAATTTTCTGAAGAAAGAAGGCTGAGTTTATGGTACATATACATTAGACTGACCAATCAAACAATAGCTCTAAGGAAACAGAAGAAAAGGAATTCTGGAATTGTATTATACACTGAATGTGTTGTACATTGAATTTCAACATTCCACCCAGTATGGGAATCCCCTTGCAGCCTCACTGACAAAAGGTCATTCAACCTTTGTTTGAAAACTTCCAGTGGTGGGTAAGTTCCTGTCTTAGAAAACAGTCTAATCCAGTTTAGGACATGTAAAATTGCTAGAATGTTCTTTCTTACATTGACTCAAAATCACCCCCAAATAACTTTCAAAGATAGTACTGGGCTTGCCCCATAGAGCTACACAGAAATTTTGTTCTTCTCCCCTGTGATGGATCTTCAAAAACATGGAGATAGCTCTCATGTTCACATGGGTTTCTCTTCTCCAAACAGACATAGTATAGTGACATGATTCAGCAAGTTGCCCAAGGTGAACAATGCATGGCCATCACAATCGGTATCAGGGGCTTTGCCTCACTGACATGGTAGCATGGTTCAGGGGGGAAAGAAGGCTGAATCTGGAGCCAGAGGACCTGGTTCAAACCTTGCCTTTGCCACCTGTGTGGCATGGGGCAAGTCATTTAACCTTGTGGGTTCTCAATTCCTTCATCTGAAAAATGAGGCTACAGGAATAGATAACCCCATTAACTAATGTCTATTGGACCCAAGAACTTCCCACAAGAACAACAAGTCTTGGAGGACTGGATGGTTCACATGCAGCAAGTAATGTTATTTCAGTCATATCCACCTGAATGTATAATAGCTTGATGACCCCATTTGGGGTTTGCTTGGCAAAGATACTGGAGTGGTTTGCCATTTCCTTCTCCTTCTCATTTGACAGATGAGGAACTGAGGCAAACAGGGTTAAATGACTTTCCCAGGGTCACACAGCTAGTAAGTCTCTGATGCAGGATTTGAAGGCAGATCTTCCTGACTCTAGGCCCAGCACTCTGTCTATTGTGCTACCTTGCTGCCTGCCTTTCTTTGTAGTTCTTAGTATGATATCTGGCAAGTGGCACTTAATAAATGCTTATTGGCAGACTGACTGAATAGCCTTCTAACTGGTCTCCTGGCCTCCAGTCTCTCCTCCTTCCAATCTATACCCAGCTATCACAACAAGTTTCCTAAAGTGTAAGTCTAACCAGTAAGTATCAGAGGCAGGATTTGAATCCAGGCCTTCCTATCTTCAAGGCCCACTCCTTCAACAATTAAGCTACATTGCCTCTTGCTTGATTTATACTAGTCTATTAAAAATCCTTTATAGTACTATCTGTTTTACAAATTAAACAAGGATGCTTAATTTTTTCATATCAAAAAAAAATTTAATCTAGCTATGGAAATCTACAAGCTATTTCTAATTCTTAATATAAGGATAATTTTAATAATATTATTACTGGGTTCAAAGGTGTGCTGGTAAATATTTAACAACATCTGGTGGGAGGATTTTTATATTTAATCTTCATTATTAACATTTAATATGATTAATATTTTCTCCATTCCTTTCTTAATTGCATGCAATCAACAAAAAAATAAATCAAGCCCTGATTTGTAACATTTGCCAATTTCCAAGGTGCAAACCTTGACATGGAAAATTGAACAGTTGGCTCTTAGGAAGGCTCAGAGCTGGCTCCAGCACATCCCTGACTTAGGTTAGTGGGTTTGTTTGGCAGTTAGGTGGCACAGTGGATAGTGTGATAGGTCTGGATTGGGAAGACCTGGGTTCAAATTCAGGGTCAGATACTTACCAGCTGTGTGAGCCAGGGCAGATCATTTAACCTCTATCTGCCTCAGTTCCCTTATCTGTAAATTGGACATAATAACAGCATTTACCTCTCAGGGCTCTTAGGAGACTCAAATAAGATCATAATTGTAAAGTGCTTAGCAGAGCGCTGGGGACATAGCAGGTGCTATGTAAATGTTAGCTAACATTATTAATCCCAGGTTTTCTTAGTTAGCTCAAATTATCCTTCCAGATGATCAGAATGTGAAGCCATACTCCCTTAGAAATCTCCTAGGTAAGTTGTAGAAGGAGAAGAGGCACATTTTGCAGAAGAGATGAAATAGAAAGAATGCTAGATTAAAGTCAAGACACTTGTCTTTTATTCTCATTTCTTCCACAAATTATCTGTCTGACTCGATATGTCACAGCTTCTTTCTGATCCTTAGTTTTCTCATCTGTCAAATGATGGGAGGGGTTGGAATCTAAGATTCCTCCCCGCTCTATCAATCAGTCAGTTCTCAATACCTGGTATGTAGTGACATAATTTTCAAACTGGAAGGGACCTTAGAGACCATTGAGTGCAACAT